TTAAAAATTAAGCAAATTTAGCAATATCCTAAGAGTCAATGACATAGGCCATAGGTTAACTAACTTGCATATGAAAGAATATAAATGCATACTCAAAGAGTTGCAACTTAATTGAGTGGGTTTACTCCTTATTTTATTGATTACATTTGATTTTTTAGAGAGATCAATAAAAATTAAATCTTTATAAATTTTTTATTCTCAACATGGATAGACTGCCTTTAATCAAACCGATGAGAAATTAATTTCAAGACAAATGATTTGAAAACATTCTAATTACTAACAAAAATAAATGTAACATGAAATATTATGAATGCTTGATGGTTCAATTATTGTCTCAAGTGCACATCTTAACAGTAAACCTTATGTAATACCCTAATCGCTTCATTTTGTTTTTTATTTTTATGTTTTTTTGCCAGAATAGGAATGGAAGCACTGTTCGTTGGTGCTCAATAATTTGGCCTTTCTATTTATGAATTTTCTAATTTGGGACCATTTACTCTGAAGAAAAAATTGACTGTTGGATGGTACAACAGTATGACATTTCGTTGTTGAACATCCTCCCACCATGTTTTTCATCCCTTTCTCTCCTCCATGGCTCCACCCAAAGACGAAAGCAACTTGTGCATGAATAAAGTTTATATTAAACTCAATCATGCCCACTTTTTGTGAGCATATCTGTTTTAACTCTTTTATTAGACTAGGTGGATTTTTCTTTTTTCAACTGTTGGAAGAATGTGTGTTTTAACTCTATTTTAAGAAAATGTATTGTTAAGTAAGTCACTTAATTATTATAATTTTTGTTAAGATTGAGTACCTTTTGTGTTCATATAAATAAAGTTTTTGCACTACAGCATTTTTGCCATTTAGTTACGTTTTTTTTTAGCTACACTCACTATTTCATAGATATAGGGTTCTATTAGTTATGATTTATAATTTGTAGGTATATAGATAAATTATAGCTACATCCACAAAAAAACCGTAGGAAAAATTACACTATAGCTACGCAATTTTAATTGGTGTAGGTATATAAAAGAACTATTAATTATAGTATGTAATTTGTGGGTATATGAATTTAAGATGTACTTATAGATAAAAAAATCATGCCCACTTGTTTCTTTGGTAGATAAAGAAAGTTGATTTTACTAATTGCGGGACAAGAAATATTCTAGTCCATTATAATATTATCAATCTACTTTTGTCAAGATATACTCTACCACACATGAAATGCTCAATCATTCTCACGTGACAAAGCTAGCTATTTGCACTTTGTTTTTATAATCACATATGCCACATTGGGCCAAATTTTCCCACACAACAATTTACCATATTTTTTATCAAGTCCAAACACATATATTTACGATCACTATGTACAAATTGTGTGATT